TATTGATTTCAAGCAGCTTGTTGAAACATCTTACGAAAACGTATGAAGTGGATAGAATTACATTCTCACAATATTATGCAAACGTCTTTTGTATTTCAGAAATGGGAAAATGAACGTTCCTCGTCTATATTTGCATCGTTATTTGCGGCTGACACCAATTCTGGGTTTTTTGGTTTTATTCGATCCATCTTTACTCAAATTCCTTGGAAGTGGCCCAATATGGCCACTACTGGTGAAACCAACGTCAATCTGTGGAAGCTACTGGTGGTCAGCGTTATTTTACATTCAGAACTATGTACAGCCAGGGGTACAAAGATTTTAATTAGCCAACGGATGTATCACTTCAGAACAAGCTATCAATTGTCATGTTTGTGCTTTATTTCAGTGTTACGCTTATGCTTGGTATTTATCCGTTGATATGCAACTGTTTCTGATTGCACCGGCACTCGTTTACCTAATCTACAAATTTAAAGTGAAAATAATGCCAATTTTAATACTTCTGATTGTGGGCTGCGTTGGTTGTACGGTGGCGATTTTTTTGAAGTATGGAATCAAGCGCAGGTAATGTATTGAACAATTGATTGCATTTTTTTTGTTTAGAATTACCCATGAAGATATTGCCAGAATGACATAAAGACAGTCAATGACATCTGCAAACCAACTCATTGACGAATTGAATATTTGATGAATGATTAATTAATGATTTCAAAGTTATTTTCAGAATAATGGGTGGAAATGTTGATTTAAATATGTCAGCTGCATTTAGCAAAATAAATTTTCCCACGCACATACGGTTTTCCCCATGGCTGATTGGCATCATTGCCGGATACATCCTGTTTGAAATTCGAAATAGAACGATACGTATTCCAAAAGTAATGTCCATTTACCCATTCATAGGTTTTTACAAGTTTTTTTTGGTTTTTACTTTTTTGTAGATGTAGTTTGTTTCATTATTAATCTAATATTTGTCGATTTTCGATTAGATTTTCAACATTTCTGCTTGGACGGTATCTATCGCGCTGATGGTGGTTGTTGTTGTTTTTCTTAGGTATCCATTGCAACAGATTGATTCTACAGGAACAACACTTGAATATGCTCTGTATGATGCATTGGGTCGTGTTGCATGGTCGGTGGCTCTGTGTTACATCGTTTTTGCCTGCATGAATAAATGCGGTGGCGGTGTCAATTGGTTTCTCTCCCACCGATTGTGGCTACCTCTCTCACGACTTAGCTATTCCATCTATTTGATACATTATCATGTACTCTTAGTTATCATGGGCGCAACGAAAACTGCGCCCGTTTTCACCGAATGGATTCTGGTGAGATAATTCATCTTTTTGTCAAATCAATGAATTTGAACGAATGATTTATGAATAATAACAATGATATCCTTGATAGATTGGCACGTTCATAAAGATTTTTGTAATAACGCTCCCCGTATCCATCGTTGCATCGCTTGTATTTGAATCACCGATTGTGATTATCGAGAAACATCTATTCGGCTCAACGAAAAAAACACGGCAAAATAACGATACCGGTACTGCTGAATTAGAGCAAAACAGAGCAGAAGAGCAGAAGAAATGAATGAACTGTCTTCCAGTTGAATTTTGAATTACTTTATCCTCAATTTAATGATATAGCTAAGTACACAGTTCCTTGTGAAATGAAAAAATTTCTCCGGTGACATTTTTACAGGTGATATTTGTATGGTGTTTTTTTATTTTCGAGTTGCAAGCATAATGATTTTTGATGTATGAAACAGTTAACTCCCTCTAATATCAACACAATACATGAACAAATTTGAATTTTGAATTCATTTCTTAATGTATTTTTATCTTTCTTATTTTTTCACCGCCGTGAAAAAAATTTCGCGTACATTTTGCACGCGAAATATTTTTCACGACCGTGAAAAAAAATTTGTTTAGACAAAACACATAGAAGAATGAACTCAAAAACCAAATTTGTTCATGTGCCGTGTTGATATTGGAATGAGTTAGCTGTTTTATACATCAAAAATCATTATGATTGCAATTCGAAAATAAAAAACACCATAAAAATATCACCTGTGAAAATTTCACCGGAGAAATTTTTTCATTTCACAAAGAACTGTGTACTTGGCTTATGCAATAAAAAATTTCAAAATAAGGTCAATAAAAAATGGCAATTAAACAAAGATAACATTCGTTATATTTTCATCTCTTTATGGAGAAAATAGTTCCAAAAAGCACGCAATAATTCAGATTTCTATTTTTCATTCAACACCGCCAAGCTCTGGCTGAATATAATTGAGTATAATTTATTAGCTCTTATCTACAAGCCTTGAGACGTACATTGTGCATAATGATAATTAACCGATGGCAAATATATGATATGCTCTTCAACTGAATAGTTTTGTGTGTTGAAAAAGACCTTAAAAAACACATTTGAGATTAGATAATGTTACATTTAAAAGATGTACACCTTGAAAAAGTATAAGTAAGTCGCACTGAGTTTAAAAATCTTGATTTAGTCCGTGATGAGCCTACAAAAGCAAGATATATTAGCTCGTGAGTGAAAATGGTGAGAACAAGCGGTGTCTTCTATTTTGCATTTATTTTCATTAACTTGACTTCTTGTCGTACCAATGGGCAATTGTTCGATTTGGAACGGATTAAAAATGATTTGTTCCTGACAACCGATTCGAGTGACCAATCGACTGAAGAAAATACTGTGGAGTGTTCGATCGCAATGAACGCATTGAAAAATGGATTGAGA